ATAGTGCTACTTTCTGTTCCACTTAATATTGCTTGTAGCCATCAGAGACAAATTATGTAAAGCTGTATCCAAACACATTAACCAAGCCAGATAAAATCTTGGCCTTTTGAGATTGCTGATTAGTGAGCATATACACTGAATACTCAGGATTTTTGTATTTTGCTGGTTTTGTTTTACAGGGTCAAAAGTTTTCTTATTTCAAAAGCAACTTAAAGTACTTCTTTTTGGACTGAGGATGTCTCATTTTGGTTTGAAATGTGTTTTTCAGCATTTCACAAGATGTGGGTATTCTGTCATGATGTTCTTGGGTTTTTACGTGCTGTATTCTGATAAAAACAGTACTCAGATTGTATTTCTTTATCTGCTGGAAAAGTCAGAAGATTTTTCTTACTTATCTGGGAAATTATGAAGAATCCCTTTGGGAGTTAAAACATGCCCATGTTGTTAGGAGTAAATCAGGTGTGTAACAGCTCTTTCTAATACTCTAGACTGTTGGGGCAGAAGCTGCCCTGTGGACAGCTGGGTTTTGTTTTCATGAGTCTTAATGGTAGACTTCTGTAAATGTTTCTTCAATATGTTACTTGTTTCAAGTTTATAGACTACAAAAAGAAAAAATGACTTCTGGCAACAGTGTATTAATTTTTTGCACCTCTCTTATTTATCTATATGTTCATACTTCCAAGGACAAAACAACATCAGTGCGTGTGGGTACAACTTGCATATGGGGATTTCTAGTTGTGCTGGGTATAAGGAGAAATTATTCAGTTGCTGATACAGCAACTTGCAGTGAGACAAACTGTGGAAGTGACTTAAGCTGCCCAAAAGCAGTTATTGTACAGATTTATGTAACCTACCTGTATATATATTTGTATTTACAGAGACAAGCTAATTTTATAAAGTGTGTGTAGAATTTACTTACACCTGTGACATGCCTGATACACACACATCTGATGGCTGACCTGCTGACGGTATGGGAAAGTACTTGCTCGTGACATGTATGGCTCTTGTCTATCTCCACGAATCAAGCCTGGGGCCTTTGTGTGTTTCCTGTACTCAGTGCATTCTGCTGGGTACATATGGATGAGAGAGTATTCTTAGTTATTACTCTATGATGAACCATAATTTAGATTTTTATTTTAAAATAACACTTCATCAGGTGCATCTATTGCCTCCCTTATAAAATACACCAAAAAATACCTTTCAGCCAAACTAGCTGTCTAGGGAACTAATCACAAATGGAAGGTTTTTTTATTGTACTATTTTTCTTTTTCCTCCATTTACTATCAAAACTGACCTTTCACATACTAGATACTAGAAGCATTTGGAAAAAGACATGCAGATTTTAATTTCTTTGGGGCTTCTGAAAGCCAGGGCCTAATTGGAAGCTTTCTCTAAAGATAAGTGAATGGGACAGTGAATGCAGAATAACCCAAGGCATCTGTCTAGGCTTGCAGACATCTCAGATAATTTGTTTTTTTGTTTTGGTTTTGTTTTTGTTTTGTTTTTTTTTTTTCCAAATCCTCAGTCATTCCCTTGTCTCAAGAGAAGCTTTATTTCTGAAGGAGTTCTTCAAAATTACTCCCTTTAATCACAGAGTTGGAGAGATGTTTAATGGAGCTTTTGACACATATCCTGTAAGGAAATGAAAATAATAGAAATTTGATCCTTAGTACTGTAAATGACAGCAGATTCAACAGCTGTTTACCACTCTCCTCTGTCATTGATACTGCACTGATAAGGCACTGCACCAAAGTGTGGTAAAGTTTAAGTTTCCATCTGAACAGGTTTATGTTTTGTAAGGGAGGGTGTCAGCGTTGTAGGACTGGTGCTTTGTGCCTGACATAATTGGTACTGAAGTTTTTAGTATTCTGTTTTCAGCTTAAGAATGTCTTTTTTGTTATCAGGATCTTTGAATTTCCTCTCTTCTCCAATCCCCTCAGGTTACTCCCTTCCTCAGAGATTATATACTGAGTACAAGAAGTAAAATGGAAATTTGGGTATTCAACAGGCAGTGAAAACAATAGCATACTTTTTATGTTCATCAAAAAAGGATCTCTTGAAAAGCCAAGTGACTGACCTTTTCTCCCCATTCATTATGGAACTTTTCAAAAAGAGCTGGACTCGGCTCCATGGTGAGCAAGTTGCTCATATCATGCAAGATATGAGGAAGTTCACAGGCGTATCCTCTGAGCACACGCAGGATTAATCCACCCTTCACCAGTGTGTCTAGGTGTCACACTGCAGACTGTGTGGGCTTTTTTGGATTCTCTCCTTCCTGCTGAAGCCTGCACAGAATATCCCACAGCTGGAGGATTAAACAAGATGCTTCTTGCTTCAACTATAACCATGGTCTACATGGAGAAATTAGCTTCAGTCTAGAACTGTGTTCGTCATGGAGGTCAGAGAGGTAGGCTGTGCTTAAACCTAGCTCCTTCTTTACCTCTTCCCTAAAACCCTCCAGGGCAGCATAACCAAAGTCCCCTGCTGCTACAACTGTTAGAGTCAACTCAGCGATAATGGGGTAAATCAAGGGAAAGAAAGAAGGGTAAGAAGGTGGTGTAGGTGCCCTGCTGTCTTAGTCACTGTTGCTCGCAGAGGATCCATTATGTTTTCAAACAGCTGCTCAGAAGAATTTTGTTTGAGATGGCAACGTGGCTTTCTGAGCGTGACTCAGAAGAGGCAATGTATTCTGCAGTGTGTTGGTCTTTGAGCCTTAATGCATATATTATATTGTTTGTCAGCTTGTAGTATCCTTTCAGGTTTCGTGGTTATGGGTTCCTCCGGTGAGGTCTATTTTATTTAGCATTCAGCATTTTAGATGCACATAAACCTCTATATCTGTAGCTCCTACAGCAGGCATCTCTCTGAAGAAGCCTTAAGATGTCATAATATTTGAAAGAGAAAAATGTGCATTTTTTGCTAGCACCTGTAATTTAGGTAGCAAAATAATGGGGTAGGAAGCATCTCTTATCTCTTGTTGAATCTGATATGAAAGACAGTTACAGCTTTTCAAACCTGGCTAAATCTATGAATTATCCTACAATATTTGGATGGATCTAATTTTGGCAGCTGTCAGACAGAAATATTTTAGATTCTGTATATTAGTAACACTTGCAGAGAGTCTGTGGCTGTTTCCAAAGACTTTTTTTGTTGCATGAAATGCAGGGAACTCAGCACAGTAACTACTGTGGAGATGTTTGAACAAATAAGTTGTTTGCATGAAATAATTATTCCTAGTAGAGAGAAGGAGAAGTTTGGATGGAGTTTAATCATTCTTACAGCATCCTTGTGAGAGGCATATCAGAAACTCTTAAGAAGTCTATTACTTTAAATGTTGGTATACTGCTTGGGTTACTGTAGGAATTATTCCTTGCCATTTCAGGAGCTCTGGGGGTATGGGTGTGCAAGTTCTATTTTATTGTATTTTCTGTATGAAGGACACTAAAAAAACTAGCAAGAGCCTTTAGTAATTGTACTATATCACTGTTATCCAACAAAGGCTATGAAGGACCTTCTGTAAGACAAATCACAATTAGAACTTAAGTATCAGTTGGGAATTGCGCTATAATTCTAGCATTTATCCTCTCTTTTTGATATGGTACAAATCCTTCCTACTTAGCCTGATTCTCAGCCTGAGGCTTTAACATTCTGCTTAGTGTTCATTTTATTTGATTTGACACTCATCCATTGTATTTTGCATGAGTTTGTTGTTATGCTTTGCCTGAGCTGAACTGCTCCATCTGATGGTGAAAACAATAAAATGATATTTCTCGTGCAATGAGGATTTATCTGAAAAAATGTCATCTAGTGGAAGCATTTAATGCTGTAAGGGTATGTGTGCCTTAATCCAGGAGATTTACTAATGATGTTCTACCTTCTTTATATCTGGATGTAGAGCAGCTAATGTTATGTAAAGGAGTTGCACAAAGATCGTGAATACACAGTTTTCTTTCATGTTTCTAGTGAGATACCCAGTGGGTAGGTACTTGTACTGCAGACATGGGCTTCTCAAAGCCCAGATGCTCCCAGACCAGAGATGCAGCTGTGCTTTACAAGACATGCATATCTGAAAGGAGTTGTTCCTGCTTATGCACAAAAAGGGAAGTGTGGCTGCTTGGTAGCTGTTGATTTGGTCGTGTTCTTATTACCCAATGTGGAAATACTTAATGGTTGAGTATATTGGGTGGAAGAGCTTGTCCATATGGTATTTTCAATCATGAGTCCATTTAGTTGCACAGAAAAGGAGGTAAAAGCTAAAGAACTCTGAAAGAAACAGTCTGACTGCAATAAAAGATTTAAAAGGTTCTCATGTGTCATTGAAAGATAAACAATCACAGAAATCTTGTGCAAGCAGCAAAGAAACAGGAAGTATAAAAGTAGCATATTTCCAAGTTTTTTAGTTTGCCCAGCTTTTTGCAATGCAAGAGTCTGTAGATGCATGCTACGATAGATTTGTCTCTGGCACCTTTCATGTTGCCCTAAGCTATCAGAGTATTTTCCATGTGATAGCAAGATCTGTCATCTCTGAATGCTCATGTCTTCAGCCAGGAAAGTAAAAGGTATGATTTGCTATCTTGAGCTGATGTGGCTGTGATGAAGGATGGAACCTGTATGGAAGGATGCTTATATGTAACAGCACGTGCAAGGAATGATCTTTAAAATATTTGAGCAGCCTAAGGTTAAGATTTTCTGTTCTCTTGAGACAGTAATGTGAGATCTGACCACCTGAGCACAAGCTGATTACATTTGGCCTGCACACCTGCAAAAGTAAGGTCATGATGCACCAACCAAAAGTCTCTGTGATCAGGGAAGTTGCTTCTAATTCATGCTATGAAATTTTGAGGAATCTCTTTATTGTATTCAGTTTTCATAGCCTCTATCAAAAATTGCAAATTTTAAGCTGTTCCTGTAGTTTTGTCCCTCATTTGTATTAACCATATACACTTACATTGCCCAAAATGGTGTATACAGACCTTTTTTTTTTTTCCTTTCTCTCTCAGACACCCTGGCTCTGGAATACCAGACAGTGCTGGAACGGGTATCCGTATCAGGTAAAAGTTACAGTGCTGCCTAAAAACAAACTTGACACCTCTGCAGAGCTCTGTTTTTATTATGGTTGGAGCTTCGTGTCAATATGTTAGTATGAATGGGCTACTCGGCATATTCAGAACTTTTCTAGATGCTCCCCATCTTGTCTGAGTTCAAGATGGGAAAGATGAATATAGCTGTCCTACCTGTTTTGAAATGAAGTACAGGATCTGAAAACAGATCTGGGAAATCTATCCATGAAAGCAGACATGTGCAATAGTGGTAGAATGGTAATTTTTTTACAAAGTTCTGAGGATACTGTAAGTTTTAGCAAAGCCTCAGATTCAGCAGGTTGGGAGAAGCCACTATAGTTCTTGTAGCTGTTATATTGCATACAGGGTGAGACTTAATCCCTTACAGTTGGTGTGATCAGAGACTGAAGAGAGAAGTTATGTTTCTCCTTTAGGTACTTAAGTATCAGCTATCCAGTCCTTGCCTCATGGAAGCTTACAACAAAAGACGGAAAAATTAATGAGAGAATTGAGAATGGTTTCAAGTCTTTATCTTCAGCAATGTCTGTATTTTTATGGATTCTAAAAGCATTAGTGTTTCTCTCTGCTCTAGATTGAAGTATATACTTCAAAGAAAGGACTTAAGTCATTTATCTCCTTTACTAAGCAGTATAACACCACTGTTAAAGTAAAAATGGCCTTTCAGGTTGTGTCCTACTGCACTCATTCCCTCTTTTAGTTCTCAAAAAAAAAAATGTGGCTCAAGTTTGAAATTTGGTTTCCATAAAATAATCTTCAAAAGAACAATAACAGTATACTTATTCCTTACTGCACTGCTGAGGTTTTTAACGAGTTCCAGGAATATTTAATTCCTAGGTTCAAGTTCTGGCCATCTTTCACAGCAACACAGTTGTTCCAGTGATGTTCAGGTGCTGCAGTAACACCAGGATTAACTGTAGCCGTACCACTCTGGCAACTATTCTCTGCTAAGGGAAGAAGGAGCAGGACAAGTGAAAGGAGGAGGGTGGAAAATTTATCTATCATTATCTGGTTGAACAGTGGTTTCCAAAGTTTGCATACCCAAAGAGCTTTGAGAAACCTCTTCTGTACTTTCCATTAGATTGTGCTACTGTACATAGCTGTTCAAGTATGGGATGTATTTAAACAGAGCAATCAACCTGCTCTAAAGGACTTAATGTAATTTTCAGAAAAGAAAACCGCTGAACTCTTGTCTTGGGTGTACCACTGCCTCATTTTACCTCCAGGTCTGATAGAAGTAACTTTCAACATGGATGTGAGGATCAGTGAATTAATTAAATGTTCTCTATTATTATTATCAATAATAACAGTAAGGTAGCCCTTTCAAGGAAGAAGTATATCATGTATATGGGCTAGGAAGAGACTTTGGAAACCCTTTTGGGAAAGCTAAGAGCCACCTGTTTCCTTAATACTCTGTATAACAGGAGGCAACAAGAGATTAAAGTTGTGCGGTATAATTTTTCCTTTTATTATAAATTAGAGGTAACAGAAGTTTCTAAGGTGACCCAGTAAGACGGTCTTCAAAATTTTAATAACTTTTGAGGATAACTTTTGGTAGCATTTTTAATTAGTATAAATTCTAAACCTGATCATCTTTAAATTTTTTTTTTTTTTTTTTAATTCGGCATCCAGGAGTCACAGTAGGGATCACTGAGGCATTGTACTAGCTGTTATACAAATACAATTAACATTGAATTCCAGAAGAGTTTGCAATTTAAGGAATCTAATCAGTCTAGGGCATATGGCCTTCTTTTTTTTGTTGGTTTTTTGTTTTGGTTGGGTTTGGTTTTTTGTTTTGGTTTGGTTTTTTTGGTAGTTTGTTTTTTTTGTTGTTTTTTTTTCTTTCCTGTCTAAACGGCAGGGAGTAAAAAAAAAAAAGTCATTGTCAGACTGGAAAGTATGAAGAAGAGTATTGTCTGAAAGACTCGTGAATTCCCTGTGACAGTGAACAGCCCTGGACAGGCTGAACAGGAGAACTGTAGTTAGGTTTGCATGCTTGAGGATTCTGTACCTGTTGGATGTAGTTTGGAAATCTTGATCTGAGAAAGACTGAAGGATTTTGGTCATTTAGCCTCAAGAAATAATGACTTAGATTCCACTCAAGGACTGGAGGGTGAACTGAATAACATCAGGGAAGCAGCAGAAGAAATTGAATGGGGGAAGTGTTGACTCTTTGTCTCTCAGAGATTTTAGGTGCAATCGTTTGTCAGAATTTATATGGCTGCAGTCACTGGTGTCTTTCAGTCCTGTTTTCTGTTTGGCAACTAAACTTAGTGTATCTAAAATCATGCTACTAGTGGAAGGTGTCCAGCAGAAAGCAGATAATAAAATAAAAGTCATTATCAGAATCATTGTCTCAGAGATAAAAAAGTCTACTGGGTGCTAATCAGGATTAAGTACTTGGTTTTGAATTTGTTTTTGTTTTTTTCTTAACTGTATCAAATTTCTCATATCTGTTTTGCTACAAATCCTTTGTAAATTACTCAACACAGCATTTTAGAAATCCAGATGGACTTACTGTATATATAGTCAAATGGATCATTTGTGTGACAATTTACCCATAAGCACAGAATAGTCCTAACATTTAAATGAAGTTGAACACATGCTATTGATCCTTTCATGGAGGGAAACCATGATATCTTTAGAATCCCCCTATGTTATCATTATATATGGACTTAGAAATACTAATGTTATTGTTAATAAAGCAGCTGACAATTGTTTTACTAGGTATTTTCCCCAGTGAATTCTCTTGCAATGAGTATAATAGTTGCGGTTCATTGCTAACTCATGTTCTCTTCCCTTTTTTTAATTACACCTAATTAAAAGCTTACTGGCAGTCTCACTAAATCAGAAAATGATTCTGTTGGCCCAAGAAATGGCTTTAAAAGATCGATTTTGAGTGCACACATTTTTTCATAAAGCATAAGCATATGTCTATATTTAAATAACCCACACACAGCATTCAGTGGGCACCTAAGGACTGGTTTTCAGCTGCAAAGAACTGTTCTGCAAAGGGAATGGGATTAAAAGAGGCAGCTGAAATGCCTCTTGCCGATGGAAATAGCTCATGCCCTGCTTGGGTGCATGGTTGTGCCAGTGCAAGCTGGTCTAGAGATGATTTATCTAATCCCTCAGGAGCTGCCCTCTGGAGCTCCTCCTGTGCCAGTGCCCCCCTCTATCACTGCAATAGAGGCACAATCACATTAGAGTAGCTCCTAGGACTGACTCTTACATACTAGCATTACTTTTCTCTAATCTGCTCTAGCATTGTTTCTTCTGCTGTGCTTGAAACTCACATTACTGATGTACAGCAAGACGTTTTGAGTAATCTTTCAAAACAGACTTATGAGTACTCAGAATTTAATTTGTTCTAGGTTCCGAATGGACAACATAATAGTTTTTTTGGTATTACTACAATACTTTCAAGATTAAAACGTAAGAGGAGGGTGGGTTGTGGAGCTTTGATTTTCCAGAGCCATCAAAGTTTGAAAGAGACAATCATCATCATTTTTCTTACATAGGATGCTTATATATAATTCAGTAATCCCCCTGTGATTAAACATGTCTCCTGTAGACCTCAGCTGGCTTGTAATACCAGTTAGACTCTATTAACCTTTTCTCATCTCCATCTTTCAGCCACTGATGCCTGACCTTCATTATTACTACATAGTTGAATTGTCATTCTACTGGTCCTTAATGTTTTCTCAATTCATTGACATCAAAAGAAAGGTAAGAACAATGAGACTAAAAACACTGAAAGCTTTAAGCACATAACTTTCTTGACTTGAGGGTTACCTGTATTACCTGTGCAGTGAACTGGAAATGCAGTTCTTTCTAGTCACCACCTCTTGCAGATATTTGTCACTGAGAAACTGGTGTTGAAGACCTCGTCTTACTCTGTTCCTTGTTACTATGATGTGGGTTTATTCTGCACATGGAAAGAAGAGGCTGGAGTAATCAAATTTTCAAGGGGAAGTAGCATCAGCCAAAAAAACCTTCTGCTCTCATACATTGACTTGAATGGAATTGAACACCAAGTAGCTAGTAGATGTACTGTTTCTTCTAAGACTTAAGTGATGAAATATCAATGACAGAGGAAGACTGCCTCATAAATTGACAGTATCACTTTGGTAAGATCTATGAGGGCTTTAAATTTATTCTACAAAGGGATGGTAAAAACAAGGATAGATTTCATATTAAAAAATGATGTTACATTTAATCTTACCTTTACGGTTATGAAATTTCAAGTAACTGAGCATTGCTATTAAGGGGCTGTTAATCAAGAAAATAAAACTCTGGCCAGATATAAACATTTTTCCGGTATCAGTAGCAACCTGTTCCATATTCCTTCATCCAAGTTCTCTCCTCCAAGGAGAGTGGTAGTCCATAGCAGAACAGGCAGCACGACAGTCATTCTATAATAAAGTCCACTGACCTATTCCTGCATGGTTTTTTAATGTTCCAAAATTATTTGTTGAAAACTTTTGGAAGGATTTTATAATATTTTTATGTGCCTCCTTCTGCTGTCATTTAATTAAATTATTGTAGGCTATGCTAATGGAAAAATCCTTTTCTACTAGAATTTTAGCAGGAACATAACTCTGAAAAGGGTAAATAAAGGATCTGCTATGTCCTGAATAAATTTATCTGATAATTGGAACACAGTGTGCTCCTGGGAGTCTTGTGTCAGAGCTACGTATACAGGAAAACACCCCTCTATTTGAATTTCCAAATTTTTCCAGAAGTAGAAATCTCAATAAAACATCCACAAATTTTAAATCCATATTGGAGGGTAAATTGTAAATAAAACAACCAATTTAGGATGAATGCATGTAAATCCCTTGTTTGCATTGTCTGTAGATGCTAAACATTCTGTTAATCATGAGCTTGAAATGAGTACAACTTCACTGTTTCAAAAAACAGAGATGCAGAAAACAGTGCTCAACAGAACTGTATGATGGTGGAGATGAAGTTAAATCAAGAGTAACATTGGCTAATATACATAAGCTGCAGGTGTCAGCAACACTGAATAGCCATTTATCAATATGTCAACCAAAACCAAATCTTTGCAGCAATGTTACAGAATTGTTCAGGTCATTGCTGCAGAAATGTATTGTGTCTAATCAGTCCCCCTACATTCATATTCAGCCCTCTGCACTGTGCCATTGGTTATATTTTATTTTCTTTGTGTACCTCTTGAAGAAGAGGAAAACATAACAGCATTGCAACTGCAACAGTACTGCAATTTTGCAGTACAATGCCTCTTTAAAGAATATTGGATTGATTCCTGACTAACTGCCTTGCTCACATGAAAAGTAGTTGGAGGCTACCTGAAGAGCATCTAGGTTCAGTGCTGAAGTACACTTCTGAAAAGGGCCCTTGGGAGGGTCAGTAGTACCTTTCTCATTTAAGATATTTTATGAGCAAATGCTATAGATTTTTCCCTTATGACTTGGCAAGTTTGTTCCCATTAGTGAGCTGAGCACAGACCTAAAACCTGATCCTGTCCATAGTACAGGTGCAAGTAAGCAATCTTTCTGCAGACCTGTTTCTCAGTTATGCATAAATGGCTTGTACTTGTTGTCAGAAAGACTTTGTAGCAGCCTACTGTGAAAACAGAATGGGAGGTGGGGAAGTGAATTGCTAACAGCTCGGTACCACCTGCCACAGATTTTTAGTGCTTGAACCCAGAGCACCAGATCAAACCAGTGTCCCATGCCTCTGCTCTGCCTGAGAACATCCAGTGTTCATCAGAGAGCGGGAGCACAGTATCTGAAGTGCAATGATAGCAAGTCAAAAGCCTTTCATTATAAGCACCCTGCAGGAGACAGTAGAGGTGTCATATTTATAAATAGCCTATTAGATTGCTGACCAGTTTGGAGTGTGGAGACAGCTCTTTTTGTAGTGTAAGCAAAATGGATAACTAGGAAGATCAGACTGGAGAATTGTGGCTGTGTGCTGGTGTCACACAGTAAAACTGCTCTGTGGTCAGGGGTAAGTGCAAGCTGTCAAGGAAACCCATGAGTTGAAAAATGTTAGTACTGGGAGCTCACAGCAGTTGACAAAGTAGTACAAGCTTGACAGAGACACCAGCTCTTGCGGCATCATAATAGTTCTCTTTTAAAGAGCAGGTTTGGTTTAAAAAATGTGGAAACATCTTAATGTACCCAGTATGCAATGTGTGAAATGGTGCCCATATTAAATAAGGCCCTGTCTAACTGGAAGAAGCAGGAAATTTACCAGCTAGTATCAGATACTATTGTAATACTTCATGACATTTTATATAGATCAGATTAACAGTTCTCAGACTAAGAACTGTTCTCAGCCTGAGAAACCTGTTGATGTTTTCATGTTACAATGAGAGGAATACTTTTATCTAGGTCTTGGTTATCATTTTAGATACTTTAAATTCAGCAGTGGCTGTGTTGTAGTCTGGGATGATCAAAAGTGCCCTGGCAGCCTTGTGCACTGCGGGAATTCAGCCAACCGCTTTCATGCAGCCAGGTTTCTCTCAAGGTGAGGTGCAGTAGTTCTCTGAAAGCATCAGCACTCAGTGCTGGCCTAACTCCAGCACTGGTCTTTTACTTGCTGTAGCTCAAGAGAAATGTACTTGGTGTCTTCCATCTCCATTTTATTTTTCTGTAATAGCAAATTCATTACTTTAAAATTACTTCCAATTGGTTTGCTGACTTTCAGATACCTATTTATATTTATTTAGGTGTTACAAATTCCACCAGTTTATCTTTGGCTGAAGAGGTGTGAGCAAACTATTTAAGCTGTTACACATATCTACTATTGGCATTAAGGCAGCGAACTGAGTAGATTAACTTTTACAGTTTTATAATGGCATGTGGTTTGCTTCATAAATATCTACTATGTTGCTTTAAAGATGTTCTACCCTTAAGGGGTTTCATTTTCAAAGACTGCAACCTAATACAGTTTGGTTTTTTATCATCTCTGTCCAGTTTCCCATACTGCTCTTTTGTAAAACACAGAGAAAAAAAAATAGGTCAGGGAACTTTATTACTCTCACAAGCCCCTGATGAATTTTAAAAGCAGTGAGGTTTATTTATATGCTTTCTGGATACCTGATATATTGTTTCATAGAAAAATATTTGACAGCTGTATTTATGAGAATGTATAAAATTTCTACTCGATCACTTTTGACAGTTCTGCAGAAGATCTGGGAGACCTTTCTGTGTATTCACACCTTTTAGTTCCAAGCATTTGGCAATTCCTAGAGCTTCTGTGTTTCACTTTAAAAAAAAAAAAATGACAGTTCACTCGTTCCCAAAATAAAATAATCTGTAGCTGTTAATTTTCTTGAATATTCCATTTTGATTCTAGAAAATGTATGCTATATTTCACTAAATCTGGATCCTGGATCTCTTTCTTCAAACTCTAAAGAAAGTCATAAAGCTGACTTCCTTTGTTTCAGAGGAAAAGAATTTAGACTGTGTACATTTTGCAGACATTTACTAGAATTGTAATGGTTGAAACCTTTCGCTGGTGATATTCTCTTTCTTTGTTGATCTATAGCATAGCCCATTTCCAGAAGCTGGAGTGACTAATGAAGATGATGTGTTGCCCATCAGTGGCGCTGATGCTCCATAGCCACTTGGCAGTTTAGTCAGTGTGACATGTTAAACAAATGTGGGTAGCAGAAGCCTTGAATCCACAGGACTTGTCTACAAGTTGAGGCCCAGGGGCTTACTCTGTGGCCTGCCCTGTGTTCTTCCTGCTGATGGTGTCAGGAGTAGGTTCTTTCTCCTGTTCTTAACCACATATTTTCATGACACAGGCACATGACATCTTTCAACAGTTACAACTGGAGGCTACGAATCTGTTGTAAATAAATTCATCTTGCACAAACATATATACAGTTGGAAATACATTTTAAAAAAGAAAAAGCCCATTCCTGCACAGCTGCTCTTCTGATGTGTATGGGTGGAAGTGCTTGAGTAAGCTGGGAACACAAGTACCACTTGACATTAATGGGGACTTGTACTATTAGTTTCTATGTATTCACTACCCTTATGTATAATTAAAATATAACAGGTAGCATCTTCAAATGTAATTTGAATTAATCTTCAAAAAGTATTAATTACTGATGTAAAGAAGTGTCACAAACAGGAAAAAAAAAAAAAGGACCAGAAGAACAAAAGTAGTCCTATTTATATCACTGCTACTTTTTTCTAATGATTTTCCATAGGTCAGTCCAGCATCTCTGTTTCAGAGCTGGCAAACTCAGATAAATCTCTGTCTTAAGAAACATTATTAGAGGAGTTTCCTGGACAGCATTTCTGTAAGTAGACTCATGAAGAAGTACAGAAGGCAGCTGCTGCCCAAGAGCATTAGGGCTGCTTAGGAATAATCCATATTGTCAGGAATGCCTTGGAGAGTTCCCAAGAGGGACTAGAAATCTCATATTTGTAGAACATGAATGTGTCAACTATAAAAACAGAGGAGATTTTCTGCTTGGCTTCTTCCCTTGTTTGGACTGCCTATGTGCTAACATAATTGCAGTTAGAAGGAAAATGAAGAACAGTGCCATAGCATTTGCAGTCAAAGCAGGTAAAGAGCTAGGCTGCAATATGGCCATATGGCAATCCTGGTGGCTTACTTCTAATCCCAGGGAATAAGGTAGGTGCTTTGCTGTTTTGATTATGGTATGGTGAAATGGTACCCTTGTGTGGGTTTGTAGTTACTGAAATTACTAAGATGCCATACTTCTGCTTTCCCTTAAGATCCTTAGAGTGGGAAACAGCCTTTAATCCTCTATGTTCAGTCTGCTTTAAGAAAATGTATGTAAAGCAATGGCTTGATACAACTGCTGAATGTATTTGATTGTGCTCCACACTGCTGGGGACCAAATAACCTGGTTGAGAAATGTTGGGTGTATACCAAACTTAGATATGGTTCTATGCTTTTAGTCTTTTTTTTTCTTCCCCCATGCCCCACATTTGTGTTGGAGATAATGGCAATGCCTATCGAAGAGTGTGTGTAGGAAATAAGACCTTGTAGCACCTGATAGCATTAAACATAAAATGATAGGCTTGAGCAGGTCCTATCCCTGTTCAGTTAGTGACACTGCTTAAGCTGCAGGTTTTTCCAAGGACTCCAGGTATACATTTCAGTGAAGCCAATTGCTGGTACTGAGAGGCAGTAGCACTGCACATCCTTGAAAAAAGTAGTGCCTGCTGTGTGCCTTCTGCATTCCCAAAGAGAGGTATGGTGACACTGGGAAGTTACTCTTCCCAGTATCGGAAAGACAGAGCAGTTGGCAGCTGTAGCTGCTGCTTTTCTGGACTTGACCTTGTGTTAGTGGGAGCTCTCCAACACGTTCTGTAGGGCCCTCTGCAAACCAAGTGTTACTTTTCTAAATGCTTCAGGGTCTCAGTTTCAGTTTCTCTGCTGTGGGCCACTTAGCTGAAGACTACTACAGCTCAGCAGGACTGGCCCAGAAAAGCTGCCAGAAAGGCAAATTCCACCTCCTGAGGTGCTTGGCAAGCAGGCTACCTGGAGGAGCTGCTGCTTCTGACTGCCTGGATCTCTGTCCCTTCAGACAGCCCTGCATGAGAGCCACTACTTCTTCTGAGAGCTGTGATAGTAACTTTGCACCTGGTACATGGAGAAACTCCCTGGTGAAACGATGCCCGAGATGTTTTCTTCAGGGTTTTGATATCACTTTCTCAAAGCTGTGCAGGTAGTTCAGCAAACTCCAGCAAGACTTCTTTTTGACTGACTTGGTACCTTGCAGAGAAGAGTCTCATCTCTCTGGGTCCTGTTCTCTCAGTAATCAGTTTGGGAATCTGGGCCAGGCAGACAGGTCATTCCCTCTGCTTTGCCTACCCCTTGGCATGTATCTGGGAATGTGATGTTACAGGAGCTTCACCACTCCCAGTATTTTTCAGTACTAACAGTTACTTGCTGGCCACACAACTCGGTTACTGATCTGGAGACCAATTAACCTGCATTATTTGGGAGGCAGCAGATTAGATCTGAGTAGGAACACCTGTACCAGCTCATTTGAAGACTTTTCTGACCCTGTTAGAGTGTGAAGACAAAGCAACTTCATTAAAAACAAAGAAATAAAAAGCTGGAACTGGGATTCTCAGCTCTGTGAAAGCTCTCAGTTGTACTTGACAGGTGACTTGATAACTCCTAGTGTGGTAGAAATGTGTTTCTTGTTCCTTTGTAGCTGTTTGAACTCTGGCGAATGGTGCATTATTTTGCCTATTGTATGTTGCTTGCTGTATAAAAAAATATGGTGTGATTTGATTTGTATGTACATATGCCTTTTCAGAGTAACTTCAACCACAAATATTTACTTCATTAGATTAAATTACTATAAACTGAGAAGTGTAGATATTGCCTAGCTTTCAATAATATTTTTGCATTATGTTAACATACAATGATTATTTTGTTCAGTCTAAGAGAAATCTTTAGCAGGTTATTTAATGCACTTATGTAGCAGGATCTTTATGTAACATAACCATAATGCTGGGTTTAAAAAAACATCCATCCATTTTTGTATGAGTACTGAATCTCACTGTTTGCTTCATTGTTTTTTTTTTTTTTTGTTATTTTTTGGTTTGTTTTTTTTTTTGTTTGTTTTTTTCCTGCTTCTTGCTGCTCTAGGACTTTGGCATCATGTTTACACATCACATTGTAACAGTCACCCTGATAACCTTCTCATATGTAACCAATTTGACACGAGTGGGAACCTTGACCTTATGTCTCCATGATGCGGCTGATGTTGTCCTGGAGGTGAGATAATATGTATGTCATCAGTGTCTGTATATGGTATTCACTATTCAGAGAGTTAACATGTCAGTAGGTAGAATCTATTTGATATGCAGAGCAAGTATTTCCTAAGCAGAGAGTCCAGTTCAAGATGGTAATGGTGATTAATACAGTGTATTTCCTTGAAGAAATATATTACTTTTGTAGCAGTGCATGTTTGTGACTTCAGGCTGGTTTATCCCTTGATAAGTTGCTTGTACAGAGCAGAGACTGGTAATGCATTGCATGCCACAGAGGATTACACACAGATTTTAAATATAACACTGTAAAGTCAAAAGGTCAAAGTTGTGAAATCTGGAAAGTGGTGACTGGGGTAGAAGCTCCTGGTTCTTGACCCCTCTGACGTGGTGTGTGGGACAAGAACCCTGTCTCTAAAAGAGTCGAGGTGTCACGGTTTGTTTGTGCTGTGCTTTGGTGGGCAGAGGGTGCTGGACAGTTCAGTGGTTGTGCGCTGGCAGTGAGCTGACCTGGTCTCCAGGTTTTTCCAGGTCCCTGTGCTTCCTCATCCAGATGCCAGTATTAAGCAGTTGGCTTTGGAGTAGAAGGGTTGATTGAAATTATTTAAATCAAGATGGTCTGTAACTTCCATAGGGGCAATTTAGAGATCTTGTTATCCTGTATCAGCATCAGTTTTTAAGACAGCTCTGAGTGATGCTGGGATTGGGCTGTCTGAACTCTCTATCAGGATCAAACCAAAGTTAATAACTATTTTGTCTGAAATTATTTTTTATTAAAGTAGTTGCAAGGATCCTGTTATGCAAGAATATAGTCTCATTGTGTGAGTCACCTATCACAGAATCAAACTCCTACCATTCTGATTCAATAGTGCTGTAAATCTGGCTTTATTTTTTAATCTTTTTAAAATCTAGAAGTCACACGACTGCCTGAGTTAGAAAGCAACAGAGAATTTGGATTTCTCCTGTTAGAATTAATTACATCTTCACAAGTTTATTTTTCTTGCTGTGGGTTCACCCAAACTTTCTTAATTCTTTTTCTCTCACCACCAAGACATACGTGAAGGTGTTAATTCCAGATCAGACCAGTGTCTATGGAACTATAAAACCACTGGAGAGCAGCTGTAATAGGCTAGCTAAGACCTTTGCCTTTATCAAAGTGAGATACGTGGTTTTGCTCAATTCCTCTGTTCATTCACTGGCTAAGACAAAGAGAAATTGCTGGTATTCTCAGATGATTTGCAGACATTCAGCAAATACACTTCCACATGAGGCATATACTGTAATGGTATTTCCAGTCAATTCATTCAGTTTATTCTGACTGGAAATACTAAAGCTGCACTCCCAAGATGTAGGAAAGATAATCACAGGCCCTGAGCAGCATTTACTAGGAGGGCCATTATAACTCAACAGGCTTTCTTCTGCTAGGGCAGTAGGTCACAGCCCCAGTGCCATATGAGAGAAGATGGACTTTTACACACTGCTGACATTACTGAGGGGGAAGTCAGTTCAGAGGAAGAAAATTATCAAACTACAAAAGAAGCTGATAAAATATCTTGCCATGATGGGTCACTTGTGCACCTGACCTGTTTTACATATTATGTATTTTTAAAAACTAAAAAGTATTTCCAGAGGCCACTAGACTTTTTCCACATGCCATTTCATAATGAAACATGTCCAATGGAAAGCTGCAATGCAACATTTTGGCTATTCTCATTGCAGAAAGTTGTACATATTGGTAGGAATACTGGAGATGAGGTTTTTCTATAGGTCTTAAGGCATCTGCAGTTACAGAATAGTCGTAGTAGTATTTTCAGGAATACATAGCTGTTCTCTTAGATCGGAGTGAAAATTGCCCTGGATGCTCAAAGCAGCCTAGTCATGGCAGGGCAGACCAAACATAGAATAATTTGCTTGCCTAGGAAATCATTACATTACCTTAAACTGAAATCTAGGCTACTGAGAGGCAACTTTCAGAAGTTGTATATGGGGTCCTGGGTAACTTAACACTGCAGTACAGCTTGTGGGTTGGAAACGCTGTGACCTATCCTGCTGAAGCACTTAAAATCCCATCTGTTTGGGGACCTTGAGTCTTTTCAGCTTTGGTTAATGAGCACTGTGACAGTTTTGATGCCAGTGGATGGAAGTGAATAGTTGCCAATTTGATATGCTTCTGGTTTATGACCCTCACATAGCTGACAGTTAAACCTGAATCCTTTCTGTAAGGTTCCAGCTATCCCCTAGCACACTTTCCTAAAAAAATAGGGAATGGACACTTCAGACCAGGGCAAATAGCCACACTGTAAAATAAGTGAATTTAAATAGACTAGCAAGAGTATCTGGAAGAGCTGTAGTTACAGTTTTTAAGCTTCAAAAATTGTGTTGTGTTGTCTTAGGTGGCCAAATTCCATCCAACAACAAAATACTCTCCCTTTTTTTGTAGTCCTCCCTTATCAAAATCATTTGTAGATTTGTTATTGGAGAACTGATGACCCAACAGCTGTACTGTTTTTGAGAAGTGACATGATACTACTACAAGTTGATATAGCAATATCAGCTCCATGGACTATGAAACCAGCTTATTTAGACTGCCACCATAGAAATACATCCAAAATTCCTGTCTGAACTTTCAGTCATCTGAAAAATCAAGGTGTTAGTAACTCTTCTGCTTTGTATGTTGACACTGAAGCATTCTCTTTTCCTTGAACCAGACTATGAGTACAAACTGCTAGGAAACTCATTTGTGTCCACTAGAATATAGGGCTGATTTGGAAAGGTTGTTTTCTTTGCAGCACTGGTGTCTTTCCTCAAGTGTTGTTGACATTCCTAGCTTGCTTTCTGTTAGTGAGGAATATCCTTTATATTCAGGTTTCGAGTGAAAACATTGCAGAAGTTAGGTAACATCCAAATGTGCAGGTTGGTTTTGCCATCCAGATTGTCTGACATGAGCATTGAGCTCATTAGGTTGAGTGTGTTCATGACAAAAAAAAACCAGACAGAATGCAAGAATACCTCTCACTATTTTATGCAATTCTCTGGTTTGAATTCTGTATTCAGAATAGTATTCTGTATGCATAGTTGTGGTGATTTTGCTCCCTCTTAGCCCTCTGGAAAGTCTGCACAAGTAAGCATCTTCTCAATATGGAAGCTGGATACAGGTCCCCTCAGAGAGGGGCTTTAAAAAGGCTCCCAATGACTGAAGTGGACACTAAATCAGGATCTTCATGTACTTTACTGTTCTTTGACTCCTGGATACATTTGATAGAAAGCATAAAGACAGACTGTCCCTGCCTTGAAGCAGATGTTTTAAGATAAGTGACTGCTTGCACAGATGTTGTGGAAGCAGCATAGATGTCTTAAAACAATCTTGCTTGCACATGCTGTTTTCTTGAGGGAGAAGAGGACAAATAAACTTCAGGGAAGATCAGTGTTTTAATGAGCAGTTTGAGTGAAGAGTAGTGACTCCTTCACTGAGGAGGACTCAGAAGACTGCATGAAGACAAATGAGAGAAGCATGTAAAAGCAGGCATAGGGCAACAAGTTGGAAAGAAGCAGGGAAGGGAGCCTTGGAATAAGATTTGAAGGGAAAGGTTGTAGTCTTTGAGCTGGTAACTGTTCTGTATAGACCAGAAAAGAAGCAGCGAAGCTGTAGAACATAGGACATGGAGTGTAGTAGAGGATTTGAGACAAAGTTTATATATAGAAAACACTAGAAGGTCAGAGAGCATGGGGCAGGTGGAAGATGGATGGATGCTGAAAATGCTAGTGGAACATACTAGAAAGAGGAGAGAGAGGTAGATAAAGAGGTTGGGGACAAGGACAGCTTAAACACAGTGGGGTTCAATAAAAGGTTTAGAAGAGTTTTGTGAATCTGAAATTGTAGGATTTAAAAAAGTGAATGGAGAATGAAGAAATGAGAGATGTACTCTGGTTTTATTCACTCTGGGTTTTCTTCATGAGAAGACATTTTCCATCTGCTTGGTGGAGAGGAATTACAAGGTCACTGTGAGGTGGCCCAATGAAAAAGTTAGCAATTTCATAAAAATTTTATTTCTTCTTCTTACAGTTTACACACAATACAAGAGAACTCAGTTGTCCTCACAGAAGTAAACAGACATTTTTTTCTTTTACAGGCTGCCAAAATGGCAAACTATTGCAAGTGTCAAAAACTGAGTGACCTTCTGTTCCTTACATTTGCCATTGTCTTCATTGTCAGTAGACTTGGCATATATCCCTTATGGTGAGTAAGTATATCGTTTTCCTCAAATGCTAAGCATCAAACAAGCTTGGAAATAACTATGTTGTAATTGAACCTGAGTCATTGACATTACTCTGTTTCTCAAAGCAACAAGGAGAGTTTCAGACATAACAAGGTGCTGAAATAGCCTATTTGCTAGAGTGACATTGTGTTTACTGTGTGCTAGACAAAAAACATACGTGGCTTCTGCTGGTTTTAATGTAGAAGTGGGTTGGAGACCACATAGCTTTCGGTTAGCAGTTGGTTGTCTGTGTTGGCAAGAAGTTAGAGGAGAAATAAAATATTAGTCACTGAAGACACTGACCAGAGGCTAAGCTTGAAGCTAGGATCTGCTCATTAGCTTTCAGTGCACGCTTTATGAAGATGTTCAGCTTAAAGAAAAACACAGTGAGATAAAGAAAATCTGGCCTGCTGCAATAGATAGAAGGATGTTCTTGCCATGCAGATTGCAGATTCCTCCCCTCCTTTGAATTGGGGGTCCTGGAGAAGCTGTGTAATACATTCGTCTATAAGGTAGTTATACAGGCATTACTGTCATCTCATGTCTTCCCACACAAAGGCAGCCACTTGCATATGCACATACTCTCCCTTCTAAGTACATATACATGCATGCACATAAACAGGACATAGATACTCAGTTTTTTAGCTAGGGTCTTCAACATCCAGAAGGCAGATGGGTAGGTAGGAAATACACTGATGTACTTCAATGTAGAAACCCATTCAAGTTTCTCTGTAGTCTGTGCCCTATATATGAGGAGGGCTGGGAGGAGACATTGGCCTCACTCTTTTGTGTTCTGGATCCTTCCTTTCTCTTGTATGAACAGAACTGACCCAAATCTCTGTATCTCTATGAGAGCAAGAGGGGTCTGTCATTGCATCAAGGTAACAGTGACAGTTTTGATTTTTAGGAAGCACCAAGAATGCCAGAAATGTTACCCTTTGCGGAGCTTTATTTAGAGAAATTGCCACCAAGCACCTTATTTAAGCTTGCAGAAGGTTTACAGATGCCAATAATAACCTCTCTGCCACAGTTTCCTTTCAGATCCTATATAATGATACCTCTCTGGGGTTTTGTTAATGCAAACAGGATAGACCAAGATGCCCTTAGAGAGCTGTGTCATCAGCTCTGCTTAACATTACAATGTAGAAGTCTTATTTAGCATTTAATGACTCCAAAGATAATGTGATAATGTTTGGTTCCAGTTGCACTGTGAATTGATGAAGGACCATGACAAAAGAAGAAAATAGATAGGCACATAAACGGTGTGTTTAAAAATACCTGTTATTTTTTCCAAAGGAGCAATTCCTTGTTTCTTAAACAGCTTTGCTTCCCTTTCCTCAGTTCTTCCTTGAAGCTAACTTGGCCATTCACTGAATTTCTGTAAATGAAGCTAGCTAGTTCTTCTGCTTGCATAATCTCAGATAAGAAAAATGGTGGCAGTCCTACTCATAGGATTTCATCTGCTTGTTGCATTCTGTTTTATATTGAGAAATGGAGGGAGGACCCAATTCCACCAGTACAGTTCGTCCACAGGGAAGACTCAGTCAGATGATGACTGGATAAGTTCACAAAGGGGATGGCAAAGAAGAAGTTGTACTTGACCGATCTGATAACCTTTTATGATGAAATGACTGGCTTGGCAGATGAGGAGAGAGCAGTGGATATAGTCTGCCTCGACTTCAGTAAGGTTTTCAACTCTTTGCTGGCAGATTCTGAGAGAGAAGCTGATAGCATATGGGCTAGATGAGCAAACAGTGAGATCAGTTGAAAACTAGATGAGCAGGCAGACCCAGAGGGTGGTGATCAGTGATCTGAAGTCTAGTTGGGAGCCAGTAACTAGTGGTGTACCCCAGAGGTCAATACTGAGTCCAGTCCCATTCAACGTCTTCATTAATGATCTGGATGACGGAGCAGAGTGCACCCTCAGCAAGTTTGCTCTTGTTCCAACCTGGAAGGAGCAGCTGATACACCAAAGGGTTGTGCAGCCATCCAGAAAATAGGAACCTCAGTAAGCTGGAGAAGAGGCCTGACAGGAACCTCAGGAAGTTCAGCAGTGGGAAGTGCAAAGTCCTGAACCAGTATATGCTGGGAGCTGACCAGCTGGAAAGCAACTTTGCACAGAAGGACCTGGGGGTCCTCCTGGTCGACACCAAGTTGAATATGAGGCAGCAGTGTGCCCTTGCAGCCAGAAGGCAAATGGTATCCTGGGCTGCATTAGGAGGGGTGTTGCCAGCAGGTTGAGGAAGGTGATCCTTCCCAGCTACTCAGCACTGGTGAGGCCACACCTGGAGTACTGTGTCCAGTAGTGGGCAAGAGAGATACCAGAGAGATACAAAGCTACTGGAGACAGTCCAGTGAAGGATCACTAAGATTGATTAAGGGAATGGAACACCTCTCACATGAGAAAAGGCTGAGACAGGGGGGGACTGTTTAGCACAGAGAGGAGAAAACTCAGGACGGGTGTTATCAATATGCATAAATATATGAAGGGAGAGTGTAAAGAAGACTGAGCCAGGCTTTCAGTGGTGCCCAGGGCCAGGACCAGAGGCAATGAGCACAAACTTAAACACCGGATGTTCCATCTGAACATCAGGAAACACTTTTTCACTGTGAGGGTGACCAAGCACTGGCACAGGTTGCCCAGAGAGGTTGTGGAGTCTCCATGCTTGGAGATACTCAAAAACCACCTGGATGTGGTCCTGGGCAGCCTGCTGCAGGTGACCCAAGTTGAGCAGAGCAGTTCAACAAGATGATGTGCAGAGGACCTTTCCAACCTCAGCCATTCTGCAATTCTGTGAGGTGCCTGATGTGCTTAGCTGTGACTCCAGCATTTAGAACTCATTCTGTATTATTTAAAATGGCAAAGAAGGAACCGCTGACTTGAAATTTTTTTTATTCAAACACAAACTTTACCAGATCACTGCTATGTGCTTGCTTTGCTGTATAGTCAACAAAGAGCAGATTAATCATGTCCAGAGTGCACGATTTTGAAGGAGTTCATTTGTCTTCACACACTTAACTAGAAGCAGCTGTCCACCTTTTCTCTTGAGGCATCTGAAAATTAGGAAGGTCCAGATTTTCCTACACTTTACGTCCTTACTATGGTAGTCGAGTTTTGGAAAGTCCACATTTTCAACCTGAAGTGTTTAAAATAACACTATATGTTTATAACAGGAACTGAAACTCAGAAACTGGAAGTTGACGTTGTGTTGAGTGATTTCTGTGAAGTGTTGCAGCCAAGCGTCACACTGTGTAGGAAGCCCTTGCTAGGACTAGGCAAATTATAAATTAAAGATTGACATAGCTAGTGGGAATCAGGCATCATAAAGCTGAAGTCTATGTAAATGTCCCTAATACACACCTCATGCTGTCTGACTGTCAGAATCTTGGAAGAGATTACCAGCACAGTGATAGTTTATCTAGCAAGTGTCAAAACTTGAGCCCTGCTTTACAGCTGTGGCATTTTGTGCTGCTGTTCTGCATGTGCCTATTTATTCCTGTATACATTAGGTGACAGCAGCACTTCTATGCCACTTTAGATTGAATCTTGTCTGAATCCTGCTCTGTAGAGTAGCACCAGCCCAGTGTGCTAAAAGCAGGGTAAAAATCAAAGCAAGTAGATCTAGGGAAGAGGGCTGCACGGTAGCTTCTGCTGTTGATGTTGGCTCCCTTGGTTCTGAATATTGGGCTAATGAGGGCAGCAGGTCACAGCCATGGATGAGGTTTGCTGCTGGGATTGAGAAGATCAGCATAGACTCTTGAAGGCAGTGAAGGCAGAGGGATCGTGTATTACGGAAATGCAGTGGCCGACAGTGTGCTGCATGCTCCTTTATCAAGATGAAGTGGTTACACTGGCGATCTCTCTGCCTCTCCTCTCCCTTAATCAAAAAAAGAACACATTTATTTATTTGAAAATGCAAATAGTTAATTGTGGTGTATATGATCTTTGATTTTTAAGACCATCCTATTTCCAGACCAAAGCCTTGATGTATGTACTCCTAGTGGTTACCCTTACATACACCTGTAACCACAGAGCCTGGAGGCAGTTTCATAGTTCTCAGCTGTACTGTGGGCATTACGTGTGGGAGTCAGGGTTAGCAGGGATGAAGCATGGGACTTAGGAGCTTGTCTCTCCCAAATCCTTTTTCTCTATGAAACAGCATTTCTAAATCTTCACCCCCATTAGCTTGCATGTCAGCAAAGATGAGTCACTGGAGTGGCAGCAGGCCAGGAAGCATAGTTTTGCTCTCCTTTGCTGAATATTCAAAATAGCAAAATTTGCTGCCTGGTTAATATTACATAAATATGCAAATTTTTCTAGCATAAAAACTGAGAGGTATAAAATTGGTGTGCATGTAATATAAAAGGAAGACTGTAATTTATAAGAAAATTTCCCCCACACAGGAAGGTGAATACCCAAGACAGGCTTCCAGAGACGTTGCTTATGAAGCACTGGCGTGGCATGCTTTTGTGCTCTGGCTTTGCACAAGTGCCATTTAATCTTGCATAAAGGTGCTAATAAAGAATTCAGCTGTTGTTTGAAGGTTGTTTAGCAGTGGGGCTAAAGCAAAAGAAACTGGCAATTAGGTATATATTTAGCAGTCTTTCTGCAGGCATCTGGAGTTCATTTCAACAATAATTCAAAAACCCCAGGACACTTTCAGCCTCCTGCTGCTAAGTGAATGTAGGAGTAAAGCTGCTATTTTCACTGACAAGACATTTCACTTGTGAAATTCTCCCACTTGCACATAATCACTGTTCTAGCAAATGACAACACAAAACACAACTCTCCATGAGTCAGGGGGAGCATGGTGCCTTCTCAGGTGATACAGGAGGGTAGGGAGAATGAAAGCAATCTCATAATGAAGAATTGATAGAAATTATGTGAGCCGTTGGCTAGTCTAATCAGGCTGTGCAAAGCAGTTACCTCAAGCCTTTCTTTATTTCAATAAGCCTTGCAATTCCTCTTCTTCAGGCCTCA